ATTCCTACAATTGGAATTACGAAGTCAGATGGGAGGCATGTTTGTAAGGTTATTGGTGCATGCTGCCAAATTTCTTTCCTGAAAAGTATAGCCAATCCATGGCAGACTTAATTAGTAATTGCACTGTGATGCAGTTTGTAGCAGATTGCCTGTCCCTCTCCTCCCAGGCCTGAGAGGTGGGGGAGAGCCCACTGTCCCTGCTGCCTTCCCTCGGGCACTTCACTGGCAGCAATGGTGATGGTCCCTGCGTCAGGCAAGAGGACATTCCCAGGGGAGCTAAGGCACGTGGTTTCTCAGGTCCTGTGTTTCCATCTGACCACTTGGTGAGCTCTCATTTGGACCTCACCCCTGGCTCAGGACATCCCCTGGCTCAGTGACCCTACAGGGTCACTCACCTATGTCATCAGTTCCCAGCCTGAGGGGCACTGGGTGGGTGGGTGACCCCAGGCAGAGGAGGGGATTCAGGGGCCCACACCTTTTTCTCCTACTGTGTTAATTATCGATGTCCCTGGCTGTTTTCTGGGCTGAATGGTCAGTTCACTAATTTATTTATTTATTTATTTTATTTTTATTATTTTGTGAGACAAGGTCTCACTTTGTCACCCAGGCTAGAGTACAGTGGCACAAACACAGCTCACTGCAGCCTCAACGTCCTGGGCTCAAGCGATCCTCTCTCCTCAGCCCCCAAAGTAGCTGGGACTACAGGCGTTGTGCTACCATGCCCAGCTAATCGTTTTGTATTTTTTGTAAAGACTAGGTTTTACTCTGTTGCCCAGGATGGTCTGGAACTCCTGAGCTCAAGCAGTCTACCTACCGCCGCCTCCCAAAGTACTAGGATGACAGGTGTCAGCCACCACACCAGCCCAGTTTACTAATTTATGGTTTATGTATGTAGTAAAGTTACACAAAGTTTTTTTTACATATATTTTGCCCCCACACTAACTGGAGGATAGTCTATCTATCCAATAATGATTTACTGTTGAGTCTCCTGCTCTGAGCCAAGGCTGTGCCCGGGTACTAGGAGAGGCCCCTGTTACGGGCTTCTCGACTGCACACTTTCCTCCCTCCGGAGGCAAGAGCTGCCCAGGCTGACTGAGGCCGTGAGAGTGATGACGCTCGCTCTCCTCTCTTCCCCAGGTCTGGTCTCTGATCCAGCTGGCGCGCAGATACCTGCAGAAGGGCTACACCACGCTGCTGTTCCAGGAGGGGGATTTCTACTGCTCCTACTTCCTGTGGTTTGAGAATGACATGGTAGGTGAGGCCAGGTCCCTGGGCCAGGACAGTCCACACACACTTCCCACGCTGTAACTCTTGGATTCCTCTCTTCTGATTGTGTTGTCTCTCTCCTCTTCTTGTCCCTGGTAAGCCCAGCAGGTTGGGACCTAGAGCTCAAAGGTCACCTTTTCACTTGGGCATTTAACTGTGATCCCTCTGCCCAGCTGTCTAGCAAACTCCTGCCATTGTCCCCACAGGGTCCTGGCACACATGTGAGCAGATAGGCACACGCCCTACGTGGGAAAGGTGACTCAGACCACACGCTTCATCTGTAGTGCTTCCACATCGCCAGCGTCACGTGCTAAGCGTGGCATACAGTCATCCCTGTAGCATAAGACCCTGCTTGAAGCAGTGAGCCCGGCCACCTGAGAAGGCACTGGCAGTGTGGCTTGGGTCCCTGGCCTCCTGGCCCCGCACTGCTGTCTCTGGGTCTCACTGTTCCCGCAGGGTAGGCTCCGGCAAGAGGAACTACTGTCTGTGGCCCCCTACCCCTCTCCTCTCCTCCTGCCTCTCCCTCCTATCTCTTCCCTTTCTTTGCTTTCCTTCTGTTTCTCTTTTGTTTGCATCTCACTTGTCACCGTGAGTGGTTGTTCCAGCTCTCAGGAGCCTTCCTCCTCCCTCGCAGCCTTGGTCTCTGAGTCCCTGCACTCCTTGCCTTCCAGGGCATTCACCCTTCACTCTCATTGTTCACTGAGGATGACAGCCACCCCATTCCATGGCGCAGGGTGGTTACCGGGGCCCTCCACTGCTGTTCTCTCAGTCACTCCTCACAGCTGTGTGCAGTGGCTGGGGCAGGGATCCCTGACCCCAATGTACAGATGGAGACACGATGACCAGACGCATGGCCAGGGCCACCAGGACTATATTTTAAGGAAGCCGGAGCCCAAGCTCCACTGCCCCAGCCTGCAGGCTCCCAGCTTTCCTCTGTGCCTTTAGAAGTGTGCACAACAGAAGTGCTAGAAAATTCCTGTGACCTCTACCTGCGCTTCTAGGGAGAGACAGGAGTCTGTGTGCTTGGGTGGCCCCACGGGGAGATACAGTGAGGCAGAGCTGTCAGCTGGGGAGGCCGGGTTTGAACACCAATCGCACAGCCCAGCCGATGCCATGGGGGCAGCCCTTCGTGCTGCGGAGTCCACTCTCCCTGCAGGCAGGCCTCATGGTGCCCACACAAGCATCAGCTAAGCGCCATGTTCATGCCTGGCACCCAGGGCACGTCCAGTCCAGCAGATCTTAATTCTTGTCCCCATTTTATCCGACCCTGGGAATTCCCAGTTCCTTCACCGCAGAGGCTTGGGCCTTTTGTGAGCATTTTGCTCTTCAAGACCCTGCATGACAGCCCTGCAGGTTGCCCTCCTGTGCATGGCATGCACCGGTCCAGGTATTGATGGTAATGAGAGCCACTCTGCTGGGGCCTTGAAACTTTATACACTTTGTCTCTAATGTTCATAAGGTGACTGTTGTTATTCCCACTTCACAGATGAAGAAAACAAGGTCCAGGCATTTTCTCAAGCACAGAGCACACATGGCAGGGCCAAGCCAGGCACAGGCCTGTGCGTCTGACTCAGGCTGTGAGCCCCCGACACCCACCACTTCCCTGTCTTCCCTCCTCAGGGGTACAAACTCCAGATGATCGAGGTGCCTGTCCTCTCCGACGACTCGGTGCCTATTGGCATGCTGGGAGGAGACTACTACAGGTGACGCCACCACATTGGGAGCTGCTGGGGACAGATGCCCCATGTGGGTGCTAAGTGCCCGCCCCTGCCGAGAGCAGCTTCTGCTTCAGCAGTGCCCTACCCTGGACCCAGAAATCCATGCTGGGAACACCTTCCCAGCTGGCCCTATGTGCAGTGAGGGAGAATGGGTATGCAGGGCACATCTGTGTTCCTGCCTCATTCCTGCTGGCATGGTCTTGGCAGCATGGGGAACGTCTGTGTGGGGCCCAGAATATCCCTGCTGAGGCCTCCTAGCCAGAATACCACTGTTGGGTCAGTGAGGAGCAAGGGCGGGTGTCAAGACCCACGTGCAGGGGCCTAGTGAGATGACCGAGGCCATGGGCATTTGCTCGCAAGGGCCGGGAGTGGCCTCTGGTGCTGGAGGAGCGCCACAGCCTCGCTCCTGAACCCCATCCTCCCTTTCCTCCGCAGGAAGCTCCTGCGCTACTACAGCAAGAGCCGCCCGGCCGAGACCGTGAAGTGCTATGAGCTGCTGGCCCTGCACCTATCAGTCGTCCCCACAGACCTGCTGGTGCAGCAGGCCAGCCAGCTGGCCCGGCGCCTCTGGGAGGAGTCCCGTATCCCCCTGCTCTAGGCTAGGGTGGCCGCAGTCTGCCCTTGCACCCCGTCCTCCAGCCGCCCTTGCTTGCCACTGTTCCCCTGGCAAGAGCCTCCTGTCTGCAGTGGCCATCCTGAGGATGGGGCAGAGTGCCCAGGGTAGCCCCAGGGTTTCTAAAACCCTGCCTAGGCCACCCTCCATGTGGCGTACTGAGTAAGGCCACGGATCCTTCTCTCTTTAGGAAAACGGAAGCCAGGGGTTCTGTTGGTCTTTGTAAAACAACAGCGGCAGCAGCTTCTCTTCCAGAACCTTCTCTGCCGTTATCCTGGGAGATGGGAAGGGAGCCCCTATCTCTGCTGTTCGCTGAGCACAGTGGAGGAAGCCCACCTGGCAGGCTATCTCCCACCCCAGGTAAAAGATGCTCCTTTGCCTGGGTTTGAATTCTGACCCTGCCACTTCCCTGCACCTCCTGGCAAATTTCTTCTACTCCTCACATTTAGAGCAATGGCACCTCCCGCTCAAGGTGATGTGAGGATCACCCTGTGCGGTAGGTGCTCAATAAATGCTGGTCGTTGTTATCACTGAAGCCCAACATGCTTGTGCTTCTAGACCCTTCTGTTGGTGCCGATAAGAGCTTGCTAAGTCCGAGCCCCTTCACACTCGGCCGGGTCTGCCCTAGGGCTGGGGTTCTCAAGCTCCTGGCCCTGGCCCAGAGATTGGACTCGCTTGGTGGCTGTGGAGCCCAGGCTCTGATGTTTGTCAAAGCTTCCGTGATGTGCCCTGGATTGAGAACCAACACTCAAGGGATACAGCCCCTCTCTTCCAACCGAGAAGCTCCTGTCCCAGAATGAACTCAAGGACAAGAGACCCTCAGAGCCCTAGGACTAGGAGCATTTGCTCCTCTGAGGCCAGCAGGCTGGTGCTGGTCCAGAAAGGGCGGCGTGGCAGAAATCAGCGTCCAACGCAGCACAGGAGCAGATGCCCACATGCTGTGCCTGCCGGAGCCACACCTGTGATTTCGGTCTTGAGCCAAAATTCGCGCAGACTGGTCTCTCCCTTGCAGGGGAGGCACTGGGGGAGCTCAAACCACTCAGTGGGCCAAACCCTGAGAAGGTGGCAGTGAGGAAGTGTCCCCTGAGGTAACTGGATCTGTGTTCCTCCCTAACATCATCATCTGATGGATGGAAATGAAACACATGGATTGTGGAAAACAGAAACATACAGGAAAAAACCCTAAGCCTCTAAGCCCACCACTGTTCAGAACCCCTGCTTTTGTCACCTACTATTTTCCCTTAGTTTTTAGCAGCGGCTTGATGTGGTATATGTCTGGTTTAACCAGTCCCCTTGATCTTTTTTATAATCAATAACATGGGGGTGGAGATCCTGAATCAGATCTTAGCAGAGATGCCCTCATGCGGGTTGGCTGTCCACGCGTGTGGAGGGGTCCTCACACCCCCTCATCAGATCTTAGCAGAGATGCCCCCATGCAGGTTGGCTGTCGTGTGTGGAGGAGTCCTCGGACCCCCTCTTAGATCATCTCCACATACTCCCCCAGGTCTGAGATTCATTACCCATAGCAGGTTTCCGTCACACACAATGTCAGATCAGCGAAGGGCCTCTCCATCCCGAGGGGCTTTCCCTCCTAGGGGAATGGGCAGAGAACAAAGGGGCTCCTAATTCAAGGCAGGCCTAAGAGAGGGTCAGAAAGAACTTTAGCTGGGGGTATTTACAGATGTGATCTCTAATCCTTGAGAATTCTTGAAAAATAGGCAAGGTGCCAAAAGAAGAGAAATGGCCTGGCCCTCCAAAGGAAAAAGCAAACTCAGGGAATTAAGGACAGTGAACTTGCCCCTAAGCCCTGGTGACGTTCTGCAGCAGCCCGTTGAGGGATGTGTTTGAGCGCCAGCGCTCCTCAGCGACAGATACGGCCGCCTCTGCAGTGTCCGAAGGCCCCGGTGTGCTGACCTAGGCCCTCCTGTGGGTGTAGAGGCATCACCACTTTGCACTGTCAGACTCTGCATGGAGTGAGAGCAGAGACTGACCCGAGCACTTCCCATCCCAGGCATTTCAGTTCTTAGTGAGAAGTCAGGCGCACAGGGGAAGAGAGGGGCTTTGGAGCTCTACTCTGGCTCTGGCTCTGCCACTCACTCCCTAAACCGGCAGCCTCAGCACCCTCATCCGTAAAATGGAGAGTTTTGCCTGCGGGGTTCAGCACAGTGCCAGCCTGACGTGGGAACCCCCTGGACGATCAGCTGCCATTACTCTCCTGCGTCCTGGAGGTGACCCGTCCTGGTTAACAGGCAACCCCTCTGGGAAGACCCAGCACAGCCACACAGCAGCAGGAGGCTGGCGCACGGCCAAGAAGGCAGGAAGGGGGGCGGGCGGCTGCAGCTCCTCCTCTTCCTGCTTCCTCCCTGCTCCACCCCCTGCCTAGGGCAGTGCAAAGGCCAATCGCTAGCAAACTCCCTGCCTAGCAAGGCCCAGCCTGGGGCAGAAATGGCTGCAAGTGGCCGAGGACTCTGCAAGGCTGCGGCCGCCTCTCCCTTCCCTGCTTGGAGACGAGCTCACTCGGAAGCCCGGGGAGGGCTAAAGCCTGAGTATGATGCGGTGGTAATAGGAGCAGGTAAAGTGGTAAAGCAGGCTGGGCCAGAGCTGAGGGGTGGAGAGGCAGCCCTGCTCAGAGCCTGGTGGGGAGGGGAGGCTTTGCCAAGCCCCACTCCTCTCTCCTCGGGCATAACCCAGCCAGAAGCTTATGTGATAGCAGAGGCTGCAATGGAAAGCCCTTCCATCTGGCAGGCAGGCACCTGGGATTCCGGTGCTGGCGCCGCTGTGTGGCCTGGGTTAAATGCTTGCCTTCTCTGGGCTTGGATCTTCCCATGAAGAATGACGAAGCCTAGGTGTGCTCAGGGTTTTCCCTATATCTCCTGCAAAATGACCTAGTTTCTACCACATTCTCAGAAAGCCTATGGTTTGTCAGGGTTGGACGGCACCCTGGGACAGCAGACAAGCGAAATCCATCCACCTCCAGTGCCGAGTTCTGATCACACTACCTTATCACTGAGGCCTCCCAGACAGACCGTGAAATCCAGCCACCCCCAGTGCCCTGAGTTCTGTTCTTACTACCTTACCACTGAGGCCTCCCATCCTCAAAGGAAACTGTGGTCACTTCATAAAGGCCAGTTAGGATAAAATAGAACTGAGTCCCAGAGTTCCTGCTGCATGTCTACAGAGGGAGATGGCCCCCACTGCCTTCCACCTCTGGGATATTTGGGGGTCTGCGGGGATCCTGCCACACTTTGCCAATCCCTAGGCTCAGAGTATAAAAGTCTACTGGGTGCTGGGGGAAGAGGCAGGCCCAGGACCAGGTGGCCTTTCCTTAGTGCCTTCCAGTCACACTTGCAGAGGGCCCCAGATGTGTGATTGCCAGCTAGCTCTATACAGAGATAGTGACGGGACTGGAAGCAGACGGCACTCTTCATGCAGTTCTGCGGGCAAGCCTTCACTTTTGTATGTGCAAGAGCCGTGCGAGCTGGTAGATACTCAACAGTCACCTCTCCAGGGAAAAATGTGTGATGTGTGTGTACGTGTGTATATGTACGTATATATCCACATGTGTGTATGTGTACATGTGTATGTATACATATACACATATAAATGTGTGATACATAAGTACATATATTTTAAATATTGAAATAGATACGTTACACACAATTTTACAAATAAAAATGCAATACTCTCAATTTAAATGCAGTGTAGCCAACTGATTCTTACCAAAGACTTTCTTTGATTTTTGCCAAACTCAGTAGCCAACCTATAGTTGCAATTGACAAATGAGGGTAGCTCCAAAGAGAACAGTGCTCCATATTTTCTGTGAAGAGCAGGATGAGGATGAAACAAGTGAAACAGCAAAGATTATGTCCCAGCTTTACTCCTTTAAATGACAAGAGTTATGTTACTCAAATAAGTTAATGTTTTTCTAATACTAGAATATTTTCTTCACTTTTTTTCCTATTTATTTATGCTGTAACAGCTAACACTGTTAGGTATAATCTGCATTATTACTATTTTCCCATTGCTTTCTTAAGCCTGACCACAGAACAATAAATTCAGCCCTGCTGTGTAATATTTGCTGTTGACGGTGGTGTAAATACTCCCACCATAGCCTTTTTTGTCACCAAGATGAAGTTGTTGGATGTGATTTGGGAGAGATACCCAGTAGCATGTCATTGTATAGTGTGTCTACCATGCAGATATGTACTTAGAGGCAAATGACTGCAACGGCATGGCTAACAGTTAAATGGAGTAAAAAAAAATAGGAGGTAATGTGTTTTGAGTATTTATTGCCTTTGTTTTTAATATAATTTATTTAATTGTAAGCTTATATAATTTCGTTTGTAACAATGGCTGTTTGACAGCCAGCTCACAAACTTCCTGGGCTGGTGAGAGCCATCTCCAGCACCTCGCTTAGCCTCAGACAAGCCCCGCTGCCCCCTTCCGTGCTCAGCCACAGCTCCCACCGCGCTGTCTCCTAATGGGGAAGGTTGACTCTAGGTCGCCAGCTGCCTTGGTGACTTGCCTACAAGTGCGAGTGAGTCTCAATGTGTGAGCTTTTCCTTGACATGATTTCTTTAGTTGCTAAACATACCATGAATCCAAGGCATCTTGGGCCTGAGTGAGGAACAGAGTGGCATCTTCTGAGACAAGGTTTGCCTCTGAGTCCCTCAAGTCACACTGGCACCTGGCAGCCACCTTGAAGATGCTCTGACTTAGTCATTTGACTAAATGTGTCTAAGAATGACTGAGGAGCTTGTTAAAATTGAGATTCCTGGCCCTGTACCTGGTGATGAGCATTCTGAGGGCAGAAGGTGACTCCAGCCAACACTGTCTGATGCCGGCAGCTACAAAGCCCACGCCCAGAGCAGCTCCTCAAGGGCCAGGCGCCTGCTGTGGGATCCCCGAGGCAGGCCTGGGATTCATGGGGCCCACAGCTGAAGTCCTCTTCAAGGGAACAGCAGCATCAACAGAAGCCAAGGAGGGCTCAGCCAGAGCTTGGGGGTGGGTACTGGGAGGGGGTCTTGTGCTTTGGATCCTTGGCCTTAGTCATTTGAGGTCTGCCGTGATTGAACTGGACCCAGTTGCCTGGAAAACTTTGAGTTTTCCAAGACTGGCTTTGGTATCTTATGTTCCACACCAAGCCCATGGGTAGCGAGTGCCGCTCCAGCCCTGATGAGCTCAGAAACACCTAGGAGGTTGTGTAAACGTCAATTCCCAGACCCCTCCTCAGGGGTCTATTCAGCAGGTGTTTCACAGAACCAAAGTTTCATGAGCTAAAATTAACTCTTACCATGTGAGAAGCTAGTTGGTTATAGTTCATCTTAAAAAGTGCTGCTTGATGTACTCTTTATCTGTATGGGCTTTTGAAATGTTCCTAAGGAAGTTTAAACAATCTGCCGGTTGGAACTCATGAACAGATGGAATCTGAGTTTGAAAACCCCCGTCTCTCAAAGACACATGCAACAGACTAAAGGCAGATAGTCCTGGGCTCGGCTCAGCCTCTGCTGTTTACCAGGGCTTGGTGCCAGAGCGTTGTCAGCTGCCCTGAGTCTTGAGCTTCTTCACATGGGAAACAGAGGGTGCCGGGGACCCTGCAGTGTGGCAGGGATGAGATAAATGGGAGCTATTTGTCTTTTAATTGGTGCGGATGAACAGTCTTGGAAAAGGTTCTGTGAAACACCTGCTGAATAGACCCCTGAGGAGGGGTCTGGGAATTGACGTTTACACAACCTCCTAGGTGTTTCTGAGCTCATCAGGGCTGGAGCGGCACTCGCTACCCATGGGCTTGGTGTGGAACATAAGATACCAAAGCCAAATTCAGGGCTGTCAGCCCAAGGTGCCCTAAAGCACAGCTAGCCACTCCAGCACATGTTGAAGCTATCTGTGTTTACTGCATGTGGGTGGAACCATTCATATTTTATTTTTGGAACCCTGGAGACTGGCAAAAACAAACCCATGTGGATAAAGCCTTCTAGGGACCACTGTGCTGATTGTGAACCACATGTGGGCAAAACAAGCCACGCTTGACAGCAGCTACCCACATGACCAGCACTCCCCTGGATGCCAGTGATGCCATGTGAGACGGAACGTTGGCGCACCAGCATGCCAGCCACCCATTGCTTCTCCTTCTTGCCAAGTCAACCATGCTGCTCCCTCAGACACCGTCACCTGCACCCCACAAACGATGGAAGCCCCGGCAATGCTCTCATTAGCCCTTCACTCCAGCAGAGCCACTGACTAAGCCAGGCGAGCAGGACTTATCCAGCTAAGGCAAGAACCAGGGTTTTCTGACTCCTTGGAGATCCGGTATTTCATGGAGTTGAGCTACATGCTGTTCCAACATCTGAGAGCAGGAAGGGGAGAGGAGGGGCCACCAAGGATCTTCATGGGCTTGGGGACGGGGAGCAGTGAGCACACTCCTCAAGGACTGTGTCCGTCTGCCCACCCGCTGAACAGTGATGCTTTCCTTCCCTCTCCCCTGTCTTATTGCAGGACACAACGGACTGGTGGCTGTGAGTACCTCCCCACTTGATCCCACTTCCCTGACCTCTGGGCGAGTGGCTCTCAGCAGCCTGGGAGGGAGTGCGAAGAAGCAGGTGGGATAAGGGCCTCAGGAGAGAAGGAGGAGGCAGGCTAATCGACGCTCTGCTGTCCAGTGCTGACCAGGGGCTGGGTGGATGTGCATCTGCAGCCTGTTGAGGACATCACAGGCTCCTTTCCTCTCCTTCCCCTAATGGGGAAAGGTGGTTTCCCCCATGGCCTGTGAGGGAGTCAGGGAGCTTCCAAAAGCAAGCTGACAAGGCGGAGAAGCATGTAACCAACACAGCATGGGAACAGGTGGGAACCAGGGGACTGGGCACCTGGGGCAGGGTGGGGCCCTTGACTCCAGATCACAGGCAGCCCTGTGTCCAGAGCCCTGTCCTCCCAGCCAGGTCCAGGCCACGTACCACCCTGTGTACCCTGGGGTACACAGCCACTATGTGGCCAAAGAGTGCCCTGGAGACATTGAGGCGCTCAGCCTAGCAGAAAGGCCAGCACCCTGTCCCCAGCACAACTGACTTCCAGATCCCAACCCGAGCTGGGTAGCCCAGAGCTAGCCCTAGCCTAAGCTTCTCAAACCTAAGTCCAGGTACCTCCAGGAGGCCACATAAGGTATTCAAGGCCACAAAACAAACATGGAACAACTTCCTGAAGCAGTGGCAGCTCTAGAATATCAATGTAGAGGGAAACAATGTGAATGTGCTAGTGGACTGATGTTAAACCTTAATATTTACCTGATGTGTAAGTTTTACTTGAATATTTTACATGGCTCATTTTGTATTGCAATGGATCAGTAATTTAAAACATTTATTTTATTTTATTAAAAAAAAATTTTTTTGAGATGGAGTTTTGCTTATCACCCAGGCTAGAGTGCATGACACAATCTCGGCTCACTGCAACTTCCGCTTTCTGGGTTCAAGCAATTCTTCTGCTTCAGCCTCTGGAGTACCTGGGATTACAGGTGCACATCTCCACACCCAGCTAATTTTTTATTTTTAGTAGAGACGGGGTTTCACCATGTTGGCCAGGCTGGTCTCGAACTCCTGACCTTAGAGGACCCACCTGCCTCAGTCTCTCGAAGTACTGAGATTACAGGTGTAAGCCACCATGCCCAGCCTGATTTTATATTAATATAAACAAAGATTCATCTCCCCGCTCTGCCACTTTCTATTTGTGAAGGTTAAGGTGAGTCACTTAGCCTCTCTGAGTTGAGGTAGAATGGAAAAATGGCACCTGCCCTCACAGAGCTGTTGTGAAGGTAATAGATCATTTGCTGCTAGGACCTAGCGCATGCAGCCTTGCACACGTGGTGGCTATTATTGGAAGTTTCCAGCCCAAGGAAGGCTAGCATCCATGCCCTTCTGCCAAAGCCCACCAGGAACACACTTGTAGTTAGTCTAGTTGGGTTTCTCACTCTTTGCAGTGAGGGAAGTCTGCATCATGGGAACCTCAGGATGCCTCAGTAAGAAGGTTTTAGAAAGAACCTAGCACAGGATTTGGGCTTTGGTTGATGATTCGAGGGAAGGCTTGAGAAAATAGGGGTTGCCGTAGATTCGATACTGTCAGGAAGGAGGGACAGCCTGCAACTGGGCAGCTCAAGAAGTCTGAGCTGTAGGGAGGAAAGACGAGTGTAAGGAGAGGAGTTATTGGTAAAGAAGCAGCAGTCACTCACTTCAGCCAAGACAGGGGTTTGGTGTTAGGTACGGAGACATTGCTATTGTTGGTGCTTGCCTCATTGTATCATCGTCTCAGAGAAACCTTGTTGAGGTTGTCAATCTGTGAGATCGTTCCCGTGTCATAGGAGAATGATGCAGTTTACCTTGTGTGCCAGGCCTCAGCCACTGAGTGACGGCTGCTGTTTCTCAGTGGGATGTGTTAGGAGGACAGATGCTGGTTTCACACTGTCTGGTTTCATTTCCCAACACCTCTACTCATCAGCACTGTGAGCCTGAGGCAAGCTGTTACGCTCACTGAGCCTCCGTTTTCTCAACTGTAAAATGGGAGAATCAGTACCTACCTCGTGGCTGGTGGGAAAAATTAAACAAGACGATGTACTCACTGTTTCTGGCACATAATAGTTTCAAGTGAGCTTTTTGAGAAGTCTTTCTCATGACACCATTCCTGCGGTCCCACTGGCATCAGTGGTGGTGGAAGGGCCAGCATTTTAGATTGGTAGACTTATGACCAGTTTGGTTCAACAAATATTTATTGATTTTTCCACTAAGTGCTAGGAAAAAAGCTAATAGAAATCCTTGCATCATTTGTTCTCCCAAAATAAAGCTCTGCTATGAACAGCTTCATTTATGGGCACATTCTCTGTGCCAGGGACAACTTAAAGTCCTGTCTAAGGACCAGCTCAGTTCATCCTCACAGCACCTTTATGAAGTGGGTAAAGTCAGGACTATTTTCATTAGCCCCATTTTTGCACATGAGCAAACTGAAGCCAGGTGGATCAGGTACCGAGGCTGCAGCAGCAGAGAGAGAACAAGGGGCTGAACCTGGGCGGAGGGGTCAGCATTCACAAGTTCGACCTCACCATGCTGCGACCGTAGGAGAAATGAGGTTTGCTCCCTGCCTGGAGGAGAGGGACGTCCCAGGGCAGGGTGGCAGGAAGCAATGTGAGTCCCCAAGGCATAGGCCGCTAAGGAGGGAAGACTGCCTTCAGCTGGGAAGTGGAGGGGCAGAACACAGGCATGTTGGATCTTAGAGGACATCTATGAAAGGCGAGAGTGGAAGGAGAAGCACAGGGAGGGGCATTCCCAGAGGCAGAAACAGCACGAGCAGGTGGGGAGGCCGTGGGTGGGGTGTGGTGCACACTGGCCTAGAGTGAAGACCTTAGTCTGCGGGTCAGCTCCAGGGAGCCTGGACGTTTCAGAGGGATATAGGGAGGGCCCCGTGTGCCACCCCCTCTTCCCAGGCAGCATACCTGCAGAGACTGGGGGTGAACACCGCCATCTTCGAGACACGCCATGTGATCGGCGGTGCAGCAGTCACTGAGGAGATCATCCCAGGTGAGCTCTGATATGGCATGGAGGAGCAGAGGGCAGTGACTCCTGGTGACGGTCTTCATCCCCGGTGACCCTGGTGACGGTCTTCATCCCCGGAGACCCTGGTGACGGTCTTCATCCCCGG